TCACCGACATTAATACTTACCTGAATGCAGAAATTGTATTAAAACAGCTGTTTTTTTTTACTGTTTTAATACAATTTTCTCTCATTCCAGAGAAGTTTATTTTCTAGAAATATATTTAAAAATTCTAATTGTTTCAATAATTAAACATATTTAATTATAAAATAATATTTAGACTTTCTTTTTCTTAAACGAAACATTATCTTTCCCTGAAAAAAAATAAAATAAAATAATAAGTTTGATCACATAATTAAATATCTTTACATCAGTATTTTTAATATCAATTTTCTGTCTTTTTAATTTTATTTATTGCTAAGTATTATGGATCTTGATCCAAAAAAATAACATTAGTTGTTGTATTTATCAGATTTTATCGTCAGAGATCACTGTTTTTTAGGTTGAAAGTAATTAAAACATGTTTAGATTATTACTTTAGATTAGATATTAACGAGTTTTAGACACGTTAGACATGTTTAATATTTTAAAACCAGTTTATTTTCGGTACAAAAAACGAAAAAAATCTTCTCCAAAATTCTTTCGAAAATAGTGTTGACATCTGTAAAGACATAGCCATCATCATTCTCTATCTAGATCATCCGAGCGAATTGGATATTTATCTTTTCTACGCATTCATCTCTGTTCTATCCACTCTCTACATTACACACGCGCGCGCGCACACACTATGCTTTTTTTTTACGTTTTACTCTGTATAATATCAATAGAAAGACTTTATTTCATCAATTTTATAATTTAAAATAAATAGTATAACGTTTATAAATCGGTTATAAAGTTATAAACAGTGTAAATTTATTAAATAAATAAATAAAAATCGAATCGACTGTATATAACCCGCAGTTTTTTCCAACAATATGTCGCGTTTTGTCAGCTCGAAAAGAAACATTTCCGACATAATCTAGGAAAGTAACATGCGGAGAGAATCTTTTTTGCTTTAGGGCTTCCGAAAATCAAGTTTTTCTTTTTCTTTTTTTTTAAATTCGTAAAAGTTTAGTTTCCGTTTCCTTCTACCAAAGTAGAAAATTAAAATCGGTTTTCGCTTCCACTCGCTCAATTAAACTCTTCGACCGCTTTCTAACATGAAACCAAAATCTAAACTTTAAAAAAAAAAAGAGAAGCCACATGCCAGTGTTGTAACTGTATAAACACGTGTGCAATTTTTATTTGTGTGGTTCGAGTTGCATTATATATATATACGAAGTATCTTGCAGTGATGGTCACAGTATTTAAGCTTGGACGAGTAGTAATTACATAAAGGGTGGCCCAAAAATCAGTTAACTACTGTAAAGACTAAACTATTTTCTTATTTAGCATATTTTTAAATCATATTTCCCAATTTTGCAAGAGAAAAACGCGCAATTTTAAATCCGATTTACGATTCGTATTCAAAAATGTAAGGTACCCGTGACACAAAACACGGTTAACATGCTTTCGGGCCACCCTGCGTGTATATAATTATAAAAGTTGTAAATTCTTCGTCAGTAAAGTAATAATTAACAATATCATTAAGCCGTCTTAGTATTATCGTCATTGGCAAAATTAATTTCGTTAAATTTCAAGTATTCTTCATAAATATCTTTGAACAAACGTTCTGTTCCTTCATTAGACCTTATTCGAATGTCTCTCGTCGTTACGGCTTTAATTAAAGAGTGGATTTGGTAAATATCGTTAGTTTATATTAAAATTTTCCTATGACGGGTTTTTGGCAGATGTTGTCGTCTCGTATCTAAATTTCGAGTAAATTTTCCGTCCTCTTGCCGTTCCGTGGATCGGCGCCATATTTGTTCCTATCCCGTAACATTAATAAGTCTCTCAGTTTGGAGTGTAATATTCTAAAATCGTTCATCTGTATTATAAGTAAAGGTACTGTACATTCGGTGGATGTTTATTTAAGTCAAGCTGAATACGTTTCGTGCATCTTTTCACCTTCGTTAACGTATACGCGTATTTAGTTAATGGCGCACATTCCCACGTTTTTAGTTCGTCGGTCCAAGTCGGAGATTGTTGGAGCTTTTCGACGTTTACCTAATCGAATCAGCAAATACACCTGTATCCTGTCGTCTTCCTGTTATCGTCGTCGCAGATGTGAGGATAACGTAACCTATCTCTACATAAAGATTACACGTGGCGCCAGAGAAAGTCGCTGGTACTTACACGACGCGACGCTTCCGTGATCGTAATGGCAGCATCCTACGATGCAGAAAGTCTGATTAGAGCAGACCGGACGTTTTTCTTTAATGGCCTGGTAGGTTCCGTACACGATCCGTTCTTCCGGTGTAGAAAATCGACCCGGTTCGGGTCGAAAATTGAGCACGAACATTACATTTAGCGTTAGCATTAGGGCCATCTCTTTAAAATCCGTCGCAACAAAGGATCATTTACAAAAAAAAGAGAAAAAATACATCGAAATTATTAGGAAATTTGTAACAAAAGCTCATCAATGATTCATAGAAACGCTTGAAAGCGATGTCTGTGACGTGTCGGACGAGAGAATTGTGTTAAAGCGCATATTTTTGCAGTGCATAACTTTGCATGGAGTTGAAGCGGGGTTATTGATCTACTTGACTCTTAGAACTCGCAAATATGCCAGACACCGTATACTATTAAAATTGGTGGACATATAAAATATGAAATCCCATTTCTCATATTAGATTTATGTTCTCGATAAATTTACCAAATTTAGATGTACAGCCATTTTGTTGATGGCCTATTCTTCACTACTGGTGCGTGAGATCCTCCTCTTTTGAGTTACAAAACACTCAGATATATTTTTTACTTGTCAGCTGATTTCATTAAAAATTTTCAACAGGATAATTTGTGTACGGCCTTTAAATTATCGCCAGAATTTACAAAAACCCATCGATTTTTGCTTCTAAGCTTTTTTATTTTTTAAAAGGGAGAAAAAAGGATGTTTAAAATTTTCTATTTGACATCTAAAAAGATAGGAGGAAAAAATTACTCTCTGGTGATTTATGAAAGCAGTTGCAATTTATAATTTAGTTTAATTCGATTAATTAAAATTAATTAATTAATTACAATTATATTTTACCTATCGATTGATTGATAACGTTTAATTACGGAGAAAATGTAAAACAGCTCGAGTTGTCCAAGTTTTCTAGCGTTGTCAATTATTGCTAACAATGTTTCCTGTCAAACACACTTATTACCACTGCACATTAAGTGAATTAAATTCTAATAATGTACGTGCTGTTAATCAAACTGTACAGGTAATGCTCGGCCATTATCTTAAATAAAACATATTCAAAAATACTGGTGCAGAATTTTAAAGCATTAGTAGAGCTAACATTTTTCTATATTAAACAATATATTTTAAATATTTATTCGTAAATTACAGTTTTAGTAGATTTTTTAAGAGCTTTTAATAAAACTGTTAATAATTAATTTCATAAATTGACATAATATATGAACAGGCTTCTGTAGTCATGAAGTGTATGTACTGTACAGTTCATTGTAATAAAAATTTAAAATAAAATAATAAAATAGTTTTTGCAGTTATAAAGAAAAAAAACTTTAAATTATTTTAACAAATTCCAGCAATTTTTTTTTATAAAACTTATTTAAAATGCATTTGCAATTTTTATCTGAAATGATCTTTAAACTATTAAATTTGTATAAAAAATAATTCAAATTTATAATTTAAAAAAAAATCAGTAATAACCTTTTATTGATTTTTATATATAATTATTTTTTTTCATAATTTTAACCAATAAAATATTTAATAATTCTATTTTTACTAAAAATTATCCTTCTTTTTTTTCTGTTTTCAATTGGAAAAGTATTCAATGTAAGAATTTTAAAATGGAATTTATATATTTGTTAGTTTCATTACTTATCAAAGTTTAAATCATTCAAAGTGTGCAATAAATTACAAAAATTTTCATTTTCATATTTATATATTTTTTAAAAAACATCGATTAATATCTCAAACAAAATCAGAATGGGTAGAATCTTCTCAACTTGTTAAATGTATTTATTTTAAAAAATTTTACATCAAAGAAAATTCTAGGCAATCATTAATTAGTTTCTAGATCTACTCCTTTTGTTTGTGACAGTTAGTTTCTTGATTTCCAATCATTAAACACGGCATAATTATAAATCTGCTATTTGCACGCAGCGTCATGTTATCCTTTAATTTTATTCTCTAACGTTCCGTCTTAACAAGTTCCTTGTTCCAAATATTAAATATTGATGATAGAGGGGATAATTAATGAGAATATTTTTTTAAACATGCTAATTTTGACTGCCTAATTCAAAAATATGCAAATCGAGTGTGTAATTGAGTATCCGATGATTACTTGAAGGGATTGATTGTCAATATAGTCCAACAATTATTTAAATTCCACTAGATATGTTCAAACTTTATTATTAAATAATTTTAGAACAAATTTATTTGCATAATTTTCTTAATTTATAAATTAGCATGTTAATTTATAAATAATTCATCTGTCTTATTAAATAATATAAAAAATTGTAAATAATTTATCATGATTTAATTTCAATTTTCTTCATTTCTTTATCACTTAGCATTTCTTTCTTTCTTTTTTTTTATAGCAGGAATCAAAATGTCATAAACATGATAATAAATCACTGTATATTAATTATGAAAATTTGTACACATACAGCATCTTTTAATAATCTGAAAAACATTACCAAATGGAAGAAATATTGATGTTTTAAAATAAAACAATTTAATTATAAATTGTTTAATACCAATTTAATAAGAAATATTTAAAATAAATTCATGTTTTAAAAATTAAACTATGAAGAAATACATCTTATCAATTATTTCCACTTTAATTTTTTTCAAACAAATGCAACTTTTTATTAATTTAAATTTTAGATTTTTATTATACTTAGAAAAAACAAATAGTTTTTGACAAAAAGTCGATAATTTATACAGCATAAATCTATATTAAATTATCAAAAAAATAAAAATAAAAATAAAAAAATTTACATTTTACTTTATGCTTTTATCCATAACAAATATTTATTATTATGAAAATTTACTTTACTGTTTATTGCTTTATAGGGTTTTGAAAGCTAAATAATAACTGTCAAGCTTTCTTACTTTATGCTCAAATGTTATTTATTTTTTAAAATCTAACTAAACAAATTTGTTTTAAAATCAGATCAAGAAAATTAAATCTTCCATATTGAATTCTTGTAAATTGCAAAAGTATGCATAATTTATTTTTGTAGAGTAACAGACAGAAACTAATGGCAAAAATTTACAATTAATATTTACATAATTATAATAATATACAATACTTATATTATCCATTTTTAATAGCTGGTGGGAGATCGTGGAAGTAAGAATGTTGCATGGCTTCGTCGGCAGATATCCTCATGGCTGGATTACACACGAGTAGTTTCTGCAATGGATGATCAAACGACTATTGAGTGCGATAATTTAAATGACAAATATTATGCTTTTACTGAACTTAATAGTAAAATACTAAAAGTAGAAATTGCAAATTATATTTGCAAGATAAGTAATATAGCGTTAACATGCTTTCGTGCCA